AACAGGGCACATCCTTATTCAAAGGTTATTGTTGAATATCAGCAGTACACAAATTTCTGAGAAGACTGTCTAAATGGATCCACACAGACACTGTCATCAAGTACATGGAAACTGAGCCATGTCTTGTGACCAGCTGAGGTGGAGATACGGTTTCGGCTCTACTTGGTGAAATGTTAGCGACCATGGCTGCTACCTTTTCCACCATCCTGTGAGAGCACAGACACTGCCTGGGTTTGATTCTCTCCTCTTTCTGTTTTCTAGTTGTGTTAACTTGGGCAAATTAATTTTTGGACATTTTGTTAAAGGTAAAATAGGAATACTTACATGACAGCATTTTAAAAGATGACATAGGGTAATATTTGTAGATGGTTTAGAACAGTGCCTGCAATCTACCATACTTCGTCAAAGGTAAGGTGCTGTCACTTGTGAAACACACTGCTATCTTGTGTATTTCAGAGAAAGGAAAGCAATGCCAATTAAAATGGTAAGATGCTCTCAGCTGTGAGACCTTCCGACATGTTAAAAGCTGAAAAAAATACGTATCTTCAAAATCAATGAAGTACCATAGTTGGCGCTATATAAATGAATAGAATCCTAGACCAGGAAAGCTGATTATTCAGAGACAAGATTGAATGGGGAAAAAAAAATCTATTTGCATTTGTGGATGGTTATCTAAATAGCAACAAAATTCTAAGCAAACTGTAGTATTAATGAATGTTCAAATCACTTCTTGACTATTCTCAGAAGTTACTAAAGCATATTTCTTTTATTCTCTTAATGAGGCTGAGAGCTGCCTTCATTATAGACTCTCTAGGGCTATTTAAAATCTAATTAAGGCATGATGGCTGTTACAGACTGTTTGTGTTCCTCCCCCCTCCAGGCCCCACCTCCGCCAAATTCATATGTTGAAGCCGTAGCCTCCAGGCATGAGTGTATTTGGAGACAGGGTCTATGAAGTGGTAAGAGTTAAATGAAATCATAGGGTGGGGCCCTAATTTAATAGGGTTAGTGCCCTTAGGGAAAAAAGGAAGAAACCGGAGTGCACTGTGTCTCTGCCATGTGAGGACACAGTAAGAAGATGGCTGTCGCAAGCCAGAGAAGAGAGCCCTCACCAGGAACCAGCTTGCTCAGCTGCCCCAGCAAACTACCACAGACCGCGTGACTTAAAACAGACACTGGCTCCTCACAGTTCTGGAAGCTAGATCCAAGATCAGGGTGCTGGCCGATTCGAGACACTGAGCAACAGGCAGGGCGGTCACTGAGACAGGATGGAGGATGAATTCACCTGGTACCCTCCTTTCTGTGTGGCTAGTCCTTACCCATCAGGGGATGTTTGACCTGATCGTGCTTATGTGCAATTGGAAATGAGAGAAAGGATAGCCCTGTGAACTCTTCCCAGTCTTCACTCTTCTGCTGACGCGATGCTGAAGCCCCACACTACTTCACTGACACTGTAATAACTCTCCATTCTTATTTATACTGTTGTAGACAACTAAGTACCTATGGGAAATCAACACTCTTCTTGTGAACATTTAATTAGGTTTATAGCTTTAACTACATCTTTCATATTTATGTTTTCTTCTGGAGTGGATTTCTTCTTCTCTCACGCTGGTGGTTTGATTGGGTACTGGTGTTGCTTTTTATGTATTTTACAAATGAAACTTTGCCTTAGTATTTGTTCTCACCATCAGTTGAATTTTGATAGGGAAAGGCTAGAAGAAAAAATTCAGCATAATAGAGAGGTTATTTTGTGCAAGGCCTATCTTTATGGATTAAAACTCTGAAACATGGAATATTTTTAAACAACCTATTTTAATGAGTAGATGAGATTTCTTGTAATTCACAGAACAATTTATATGTAAATGGTGTATCTGAAAATCATGAGGGTGCTCGAAAGTGCCTGAAAAACTTGCCTTTTATTAATAATTTCTAAACATTGCCTCCACAATCTTGTTTATATTGGTTTTTATCAGAGCAAAGCTAAGTCTTTCCATCCTGGTATAACCAGAGTTGGTGTATTAGTTATCCATTGCTTTGTAACAAATTAGCCCCAATCTTAGATGCTTAACACAATCCACATACAGCTGACCCTTGAACAACAGGGGTTTATACACACATTTTCTCAGTAAATATTTACTAAAGTACTGCATGACCCATGGTTGGTTGGTTTAATTCACAGATGTGTAACCAGTGATAAGGAGGGCCAGTCTCAGATTTTCAACTGTGAGTTTCCTCCAGAGTGGGTGATGAACAAGGAAGCGAGTACACCACTGTCTTTGGTAACCTAACTGTGAGAGACAAACCATCACTTCTGACGTATGCTACTGGCACTGACACAGAGACCGATGCTGACCGTGTGGGAGGGAGTTGCTTACAAACTCACTGACAGGACTGTTGGCAGGAG